CATATCTTCAACTATACATAAAAATAACAACAAACAAATAATATAATACAAATATACCAAGACAGCAGGGAATTAAACAATGAGCCTAAAAGGAAAAATCAGAAAAGGCAGAACAAGTAAGAAGAAGAATACTTCTCTTATACAGAGTTCGCCCCCTGATCCAATTATGTTCACAGGCAAAAAGCAATCTCTTGTTAACTCTATAGTTAATTCTGTTAAATCTGTAGATCTTGCAAATATCCAACCCCCCTTCTCAAGATCTTATCAGCATAATCATTATTAACTAGAATTAAACATATTCAACATTTCATGAAAATGTAGAAACTTTTCTCTTGTTAATGGCTTGGTTAAAATGTCAGCAACCATTTCATCAATAGGACAATATACAATATCTATTAGTCCCTTCTGGTATAAATCCTTTACAAATTGACACCTTAATCCAATCACTCTACTTCTTGCCTTAATACTTTCTCCTTTACATATAGTAATACAGGCTTGGTTGTCTTCAAACATCACAACTGGTGTAGGTTCATTAATACCAAAGTAATATCTATTAGTCCCTTCTGGTATAAATCCTTTACAAATTGACACCTTAATCCAATCACTCTACTTCTTGCCTTAATACTTTCTCCTTTACATATAGTAATACAGGCTTGGTTGTCTTCAAACATCACAACTGGTGTAGGTTCATTAATACCAAAGTCCTTTAATAAATGTAGAATCCGTTCCAAATCGTTGCATGCATTCACTGCTGACATACATTCTGCTTCCGCTGAGGATTGAGCCACAGGTCTGTTTCCTACTAGTCCAATCAACAAGATTATTTCCAAAATAAAACAGATATTCACTACTTGACTTAATTCCATTGACTCTTCTCCCCAGCTAGCATCCATGTATACAACTAATCTAGGATTTTCACAAGATGATATCTTTACTCTTAAGTCCTCTGTTCCTTTCAAGTATCTCGCCACTCTCTTTATAGCATTCCAATCATGATGTTTTGGTGAACTCACTTTTCTACTTAAAATATTAACGGCTGCTGCAATATCAGGTCTCGTGGTTTTACTCAAATAAAGAAGTTTACCTACAGTTTTTTGGTATTTACCATGATTTGTAAATAACTGTCCGTCCTTCAGTTTTAAATAAGTTAATTCTAAAGGAGTACTTACAGGTTTACAATTTTTCATGCCAAAAAATTCTATAAAGTCCATGATCTTTTGCTTTTGACTTAAGAGAAAACTTCCATCAAGTTTTTCAATTTCCATTCCTAAATAATATTTCGCTTCTCCAAGCTGTTTAATTTCTATTTCAGTCTTTAATTTATTAGCTATTTCATTAATATCCTCCTTGTGTTGACAATATATTAACAAATCATCTACATAGGTCAGGATAT